AAAAGAGCTCAGACAGACCGAGGGAGAGAATGGGAAATTCTGTGAACTGACCCCGAGGGGACATTGTCACGCGGATGTCAAGGCTCTTTCACATCTAGATGTCTACATAACTAGAACCGGTGACAGTGGGTGAAGCTGGGTATAGAGGAGCCATGGGAAAGGTGCAAAGTGATTAGAATGGGGGCCTGGAGAGAAAGTGATGGGTTTGGAAAAGGGTGCTGGTCAGAGGCCAGGACTGGAGTAACTCCCAGCCCAAAGTGCAGTGGGAATGCAGTGAAGCGAGTCTCCGCTCGGTGGTGTGCGTGAGGCTGGAGAAGCGGGCTCCCGAGGGCAGTCATTGCAGGCCAACTGTGTGTGCCGGAAGGGGCTCCGCTGCAAGCTGTGGCCACCCTCTCCACCCTGGGCAGATGCCGAATGAGATTTGTATTTGCTTTACTTTAAGGGATGTCCAGTCTCTCTCTCCTTAGTGGTCTCGGGGTCCCTCCTCCGTTCGGGTTCTCAATCTCTGAGTATCAGAACCACTAGTGGGGCTTTTCCTTTTCTGTACAAAAATGGTGTGTGTATTTTAAAAGTAGACCGTATAGATACGTTTGGTACAAATGTTTAAAGGTAGAAAATGCTATGAATCCCAGGTCTCCCTCCTAGCCCTGTTCCCAGTCACCTGGTTCCCTTCCCAGAAGCAACGCCCGTGGCTCGTTTATTAGGCGATGACTCGTGCGTATGCGGATGTATATAATACATCACACTGTTCTACTCTTTTTCATTGAATCAGCTGTAGAGATGGTTCCACGTAGCCCACACGCAACTCCTTCATTCTTTGAAGAGACGCAGGGCACTCCTCATCTGGTGGCCTGCCGTTGTAGAAGTCGGACACTTGCTGAGCACGGGGTGCTTTCTAGTTGGCCACTGGAAGCAGGGCTGCATGCTGCCTTCCCAGGAAACCTCCTTGTGCCACACAGGATGCACAGGAAATCCCTAGGAGTGAAATTACTAGGCCAGACGGCATTAGCTTTTGAACTTCAGGTTGTTATTGCCCAATTGCACAAATTGCACACCTCTTGGGAAGCACACAGAGCCCTGGTGGTGCAGGGGTTAAAGAGCCTGGCTACGAACCAGAGGGCAGTGGTTTGAATCTATTAGCTATTCTGTGGGAGAAAGGTGTAGCCATCCGAGTCTGTACAGATGGGCAGCCTTACAGAGAATAGTCCTACTGTGTCCTTCAGGGTCGCCAGAATCGGAATTGGTTCAATGGTAATGAGTTTGGGATTGGGGGGATTGGGCAAAGTAGAGGGAAACCCGTTTACATGGGGGACTTATTTTTGAAAGTGCGTGGGAGCCCTGGCCCACCACAGAATCTCTCTATAATCTCAGAAATGAGCCAGGACCCAGAGACTCTCATGAGCTGCTCTACCTTCCTGCCTGTGCGGCAGACAGCTGGCTCTTGTCCTGTGTGGCTGACAGGTGTCCTGAGCTGGGCATTCCTGTGGGTGAGAGTCCAAGGCACGGCAGCACAGGGCTTGAAGGGTTCCCACTAGAAGGCCTGCATTAGCCTCCTCTCCATCTGGGCTGGAAAATAGGGCTCTCCCCCTCCAGCCCAGGCACCCCATCTGCTAGGGGTTGGAGCACAGGCCAGGTTGGACTTTAGCCAAGATGTAGTCAGACTCTGGAAAAGGCCTAGAGAAAAATGGAAGCCGGAACGCTGAGATACTGGGTGATTTTTTCTTTTCTTTAAATAACAGAGGTTTCACAAAAAACAAACAAAAACCACCAAAAACAGCTGCCATTTAATGGATTCTACCTCGAGGTGGCTTGTGTTCGAGGAGATCTGTTGGGCTCCCAGGGTTTTCAATGGCTGGCGTTTGAGAAATAGATCGCCAGTCCTTTTTTCCAAGGTACCTCCAACCTTTTGGTTGGCAACCGAATGCACCATCCAGGGACCCACATTAAAGACCAGAAAGACACACTCCCACTAATCTGCTTGTGGCCTCTCTAACGTGGTCTTTGGGTGTGACTGGTCTCCGTGAAGGAGCCCTGGTGGTTTAGTGGGTTATGTGTTGGGTGAGTAACCACAAGGTTAGCAGTTTGAAACCACCAGCCACTCTGCAGGGGAAAGAGGCGGCTTTCTACTTCTATAGAGTTATAATCTGGGAACCCCACAGGGGCAGTTTTGCCCTGTCCTACAGGGTCGCCAGGAGTCAGAATCGACTTGATGGCAGTGAGTTTGGTCCTCTATGACACCTCAGTAGGGCTGGTCTTGGGATGCTTCAGTTCTAGGGAGGTGGAAAGGGCGGAAAGGGGTGTCTGAGGGCTTTGAAAGGCCAGCGGGGGTTGTGTAGACATGTTCCCCCTCTGTGTTCTGGGAAAAGCCACCCAGCTGTCTGTCTGGAGCAGAAGAACAGATGTTCTCATGATCCTGGGAGGTCGAATCATCTTTATTCTGCATGTGAGCGTAGTGGTCAGCCCTTCCCATGGGCAGCACGCCTGGGGCATGGCCCAGGTCTACTTCGGGGGCCTGGCACATAGTGGGCACCCAGTCAATATTTGAGACAGGAAGAAAAGGAAAAAGGATCCACAAACCAAAAAAATTAATCAAACTCACTGCCAAAAGTTGATTCCGACTCATGGCGATGCTATATAGGGTGTCCAAGAATGTCCGTCTTGACAACTGCCCACCTCTGGGTGAGCAGCTGTGCACTTGGAGCACTGTGCTGCCAGGAGCCCTGGGATACCTGGTTGCCTTTCCGGACCCACTGCTGCTGAGTGTGTTCCAAATAGGGGTTCAGTAGGACGGGGAGAACTGCCCCGAGGGTTTCCAGAGCTGTGAATCTCTGCAGGCACCTTCTGCCCCATCTCCCTCCCACGGAGCAACTGACACTGCTGCTAGTCAAACTGTCCAGAGTTCTCTTAGCGCCTCACCACTTATCCGCGATGCCACCAGAAACCCTGGGGACGCATAGTAGGGTTCGGTAATAATTTGCAGTGTTAGAGTGCTTGATAGTGATGTGATTAAAACATCAGGGATCATGTTGTGTTTTCTAAAAATTCCCAATCCCACAGTTCTCCTGAGACAGCCTGTTCGTGGCCAGGCTAGGCTTGTTCTCCTGCAAGGTCCCACTTGTTCCTTTTCAGACCAATCTACCTGTAGAACCTCAGAGGTCAAGGTCTGTGCACTGAACACTCTCCACGCTTCTCTGTTAGTTTCCTCTCAAGCCCTGCAGCCACGGGGCTGAAAGAATCACATGTGAAACTGCTTTTGGGGGGTGGTGGTGGTAGAGGTGGTAGGATTAGTACTTCTGAGGTGTTTGCGTTTAAAAACCTGGGGAGAATGTAAATAATCACACCTAAGTGTGGACGGTGAAAAAAAAATGAATGCTAGGGCAAGAAAGGGCCAGCAGAATTCTGTCCCTTGTGAGCTGGCTTACCTTGTATACCTCTTTGTCCTCCCCCTCGGGCTGTGGGCCTCAGCTGCAGGCGGGAGACTGTGCGCCCCTGGGCCGGCCCTTCGGAAAATACTCCTGTGTGCTGGGGCAGCTGGCATAGCCAATGTCATACTGTAGAAAGCCTGCCGAGAAAGGAGAACAAGAGAGCACTTTTAAACAATGGACAGCGGGTTGTTAGTAAGTCCTGGTTTATCTGTACACGGTCTAATCCCTGTAGTTGATGGGTTGCTGCTGCTGTTGTTGTTTGAGGAGGCCGGGCAAGCAGAGCAGGCAGCCTGGCCAGCAGCCTAGACACGAGACAGCGAGACAGCGGCAGGAGCAGGGAGGGCAAGCCAGGAGTTGTCCCACAGGTGCCTCCGCTTGATACCAAATAGGGAGAAGTATTTGCGCGTTGGCAGGCAGCAGAGACACTGCTGAAGATAAATGGGGTAGCAAACCCTTGGCTCCCCCTCTCCTCTGAGGTGGAGGGTTTTAAAGCATATACTCTCCGGTTCTTTTTGGATTGGGCATAGGGCTCAAGAGAGAGTGGATTCAAATTTTTCAAATCTTGTCTCCGAATAATAATTCGGTGCACGGGGACTTGACAGAGTATGCCCTCCATCAATGTGTATGCTGGAAATGCAACATGGATCCAACATGGGAATTTAAAGACACCCCCCCCACCCGATCTCTCCCCGCCCCCGTCTCTCGCCGCTTTGTGAAGCAGGTGGCCTGTAGTGCAGGTACTTGGTCCTGCATAGAATAAGCCGTGGTTTTCTTTTTCGTGCCTCTCTCTACTGCGCCTGCCTTCTGCAAACCTCACCTGCTGCCTTTTCCAACACCTTCCTCTCCCACCCGCCCCGATCTAGCTTCCTGGGCGGATCTAGGGCATGCTAATGAAGCCCCGCCCCTGCCCGCCCGCCAGTGTTCCAGGGCGCCGTGCAAGAACACCTCTCCTGGTAGAATACAGGCGGCAGGGCCTGGGCTGTGGCCTAAAGGCTAGCTTAGCCGCCTTGCTCGTTGCACTCCGATGTCCCAAACCGGATGGCAGGCGGGCATACCTTCACGGGAGCACAGTGCCCAGAGGAATGAAGTCCTCTAGCCTGACATTGTTACGTGGGAAATGTCACGATGACCTTTTCCTAGTTTATGAAAACGCCCTCCCACCTCTTCACCCTGCTTGGTTTGCCCAGGTAACCAGTGTTCCAACGTGCTGGCTGTCCTTCCACACAGGTTTGTTACAGAGACCAGCAGACAGGCACACCAAAACACGCACGTGCAGCCCCGCCCTTTCTTTAAAACGGCAGCCTCAGACACCTGTGGTTTACGCCTTGCTTTTTAAAAAAATCATTGTTCTTAAAAGAACCTAGCAATATTTCTTGGAGCTCTCTCCATGATTGTGGTGGTGGTGGGTACCTGCGGGTGATAAGGGGGCTTCCCAGAAGTGGGTGGGGGGAAGCCCATGATCTTTTCGTTGCCTTCTTTCATGAACTTTTAAAGGCCCCTTCATAGTGACACCTCCCGACCCCCCCACCCCCCAATGGAGCAGAGTCAGCCTCCAGGCCTGTCTTGCAGGGCCTCTGGGTGTGTCTGAACTGCCAGGCTTTGGGCTTTCAGCTGAGTGAGTGCCCCCAGGCCCCCAGGCTCCTTCCTTAGCGACTGAAGGTCCTTTCATTGGAGATTACACGCACACACTGGTCTAACAATAATTTCTCAGAGTCGACTGTCATCGGTGTTTCCCTTGGCTGGCGAATGACTTCTACTGCAGGCCGTGACAGTCACATCTCTGAATCACCTTTCAACCTTCTGTCCGGAGGGTGAGGGAACAGCTTAGCATAATCGGGGCTCGGCAAACACGTGGGCTTCACACTACCGTTCATTTAAACCACGTCCTGCACGCGGTCCCTTAAGATCAAAGCAAGTGGGGACTCTGAAGAAATGATCTCTGCTAAGGCGGTGGCATGTTTTCTCTTGTTTCAGAAACTAGGATGAGCCGAAGCATCCCTGTGGAGGTCGATGAATCAGAACCATACCCAGGCCAGTTGCTGCACGCGATCCCAGCACATTCCCCTTCAGAACCACCTGTTCCGAATGTAATAAGGAACATGGTGCCCACCAGCTTGTCTGCCCTCCAAACCACTCACGGGGCCTCTGGAGACTCTGGGGGGGCCTACCCACCCCTGAGACTCGAAAATCGCCAGTGGTGTGTGTCCCAGCAGGCCGTCTGCCTGCGCAATAAAGTCCTGGAGGAGAGTGAAGACAGCTACTGTGGGAGACACTCGGGCCTGACTGCGGCCAGCGAGCCCGAGGCTCAGCCCCTCCGCACAGAGCATCAGTTTTCATTTATGGGAAAACATCATCAATGGCTGGGATCTCAGCTTTCAGCAGCATCTCCCGACACTGGCCATGACTCAGACAAATCAGGCCAAAGTTTGCCTAATGCCTCGGTCAGCAGCCAAGAAACGGTACAAAGGCCCCAGCCCCACAGGAATCCGGCAGCCCCAGACCTGCCTACTATAGACACCGGCTATGACTCTCAGCCCCAGGATGTCCTGGGCCTCCGGCAGCTGGAAAGACCCCTGCCCCTCACCTCCGTGTGTTACCCCCAGGACCTCCCCGGACCTCTCCGCTCCAGGGAGTTCCACCTGCTTGCGCCACAGCGGTATCCACAGATGCTGCCTCTACAACCTTCCCCACATGCGCCGTGGAATTACCAGTACTATTGTCCTGGAGGTCCCGACCCCCACCAGGTGCCATGTAAGTGCCCTCTCCCCCCTGGGACATACTGGGCTGGGTAACAGCTGGGCTGGGTAGCCATGTGTCAGGGATGCAGGGAGGGCTTCCCACTTCTCTCAGGCACTCTCCTGGTGGGGTTCCATTCACAAAGGGTCTTGTTGCTGTTAGGTGTCATTGATTTAGACTCATATCAGCCCCACTGGGCAGAGTAGAACTGCCTCATGGGGTTTTCCAGGCAGCAGTCTGGACGGGAGCAGGCTGCTGGGTCTTTCTCCCATGGAGCTATGGGGTGGGTTCTGCTAACTTTCTGGTTAGCAGTCGAGAACTGGCCCAGTGCCCCACAGGGCTCCTCACCAAGGCCCTCAGAGGGATGTTCTGTCTTAGCCCAAAGCCTGCCCCACTTGGAACCGCTTTCTCTTGGGACCCTTAAGGAGAAAACAGTCCTCTATCTGCGGTAGAGGAAACCTCCCTATAGACAGGGAGATAGATGACCCAAATACCTTCTAGAAAACTTGCTCAGTGTCTGAATTCTTGGATTCTTCTTTTTCTGTATGCTTCTTCTCCATCTTAAACTTCTGTCAAAAAGTCACTAAGCCTCTCTGGATTTATGTTCTTGCAGAGAGATCAAGTTGCTCATGTGATTTTTGTTGCTTAAACCCCTTGGGTATTTGAGTCTAGCTGCATTCCAGCCACACCCCATGGGAGTCCCCCAGATGTGCTCAGTGGCTTCACATCCTGATGCACGTGCCCTTTTCTCTATCCAAGAGGCCCTCCCGCTTCTTGTCCACTTGACCCAGCTCTGAGCATCGTTTACAATAGCACTCTTGAGCTTTAGTTCACATACCACAAAATTCACACCTTCCTTCGTCTCTCAACTCTTCAAGGGGGCTTCAAAACCTTCATGGGAAAATCCCACTGCCTTTCAATTCCATTTTTCGGCAAATGGCTTAAAATCCCCTCACAGAGTTGTGCGGCCGTTATTGCTACGAGGGTTCCCGTTCATACGTGCAAAGGTTTATTCCAAAGAAAACATGTTTAAACATGTCTTTGTGACCATGGGATGGCTGTAGACAAGTTCTCTCAGTAATATACTTGTCTGAGTCTCATGAGGGTGCCCTCAAAAAACCAAACCAAAAGTCCAATCACAATACAGTTCTTCTGCAGGGATCATTGGGACCAGTTAAGTTCAAAGCAGATAGGTCAGCTCAGAAAGTTACAGCAACTGTTTGGAAGGATTTCAATGGTGTAATTGTAACTGATATTTTTAAAGGACACAGGCCGGTGATCATTGGGGCTTATTATGAGGAAATTTTAAGACAACTGAATTTGTAAGAAAAAGGCCAGAAAAGCACTGAGGAATTTTTCCCATCATGACAATGTACCTGCTCAACCTTGGAGGGTAGCAAGAGCTGTTCTGTGAGATTTTCACTGGAAAATCTTACCCCATCTATCCTATAGTCCTGATCATCTCCCTTCCAATTTCTTTCCACTTCCAAACTCAAAGAACTCAAATTTAAAATGAATATGATTTGACTCAATGTTGACACGATGTCAATTGAACAGTGCAGCATTCTTCAAGGGCAGGTTAAAATCCACTGTTAGCAAGTCGATTCCTACTCATCCTCAAAATCCCATCCCCAGAAGTGGGTACACCTGGATAGAGGGCATGTTGAGAAGCAAGAGCTTTATATTTTGATTTTTTGCTTAATAAAGGTTTCTAGGACTTTGTAGCAATGTTTTTACTTACCTCTGTGCAGCTTTTAGACTTACCTCACGTGTCTCTGGAAACCTCAGACCACTCTCTCTCTGAGTTCCTCTGCACCCCTGTCTCTGTCTTCGCACCTAACACCAGAAGGCATTTTCTCATGGGCTTGACTGCTTCTCCTCCCACACTTGCTTTTGCACACTAGAGATGAGGTTTGTTTGTTTCAAACAATGTTCGCTCTCTCTGTTTGAAATATTTACTCCTGTTTCTGACATTCTCGACTTGTTGTCAGGTGCCCAGATGAAACACCAGATTGTGAGCTATGATAGTTTTCTTAGAAGTAGATATTGTACAAAAAAGCAGTTGAAATGGTATAAGAAAGAATCTGACCAAAGGCCTGATGTCTGGCCTTCAAAACAGATCCTAGAAGCTGTAACAAACCACAATTAAGTACTTGTATAAAGCACTCAGTACAATCTATCCCTAAGAAACACTGATGAAACCATGAAGCACCTCATGGCATGGAGGGACCTGGAAACCATTATGCTGAGTGAAGTCAGTCTGTCACAAATAGTGCCTGAGCCCACTGCTGTAAGGATAAGTACCAAGACAAAGGCTGACTTCTGCTCTCAGGTTATGTAATCTTCTAGTCTGGTTTCCCAAGCCTTGAGATAGAGAGCTTGCTTGGTACCCACGAACCACGTATCACCCCCCTTTATAATATATGTTAAAAACCACTTCACCAGAGGTGACCTCACCTCAGGTGGGGTCAGTTTTTCAAAATGGTGGGGCAAGGGAGAGGACCATTCAGTTACTGCCATCGACATTGGGCTAAGGTCATCTCAAGTCAACTGACACTCCTACAAGGGTGATAAGTGAACCTTACTCAAGTCAAGATATGGCAGGGGGGTGAAGGGGGGTAGGTAATATATGTCTCAGGGAAAGAGATTACATTTCTGATACTGGATAAAGCGGGTGGAGCAGCCTCCCATCTGGAGAAAAACCACTTGACAATACTTATAGAGAACCTAAGGGGTGAATCCACCCAGTATGATCTTCCTAACTGGACACTTTTGACCTGGTTTGTAGCCAGTCCTTGGTGACTCAGGCAGGCTGCTATATATAGACTACTGGGGATTTAGACACTGCCCTTCAGAGGCCACATGAGAGGGTTTTGAGATGGAAATCCCACTAAGTGAACTGGGTTTTACCTCAAACCCACCTGTAGCAGATTTAAAGAACCAACAACGTACTCTCTTGGACTTAGGGCTGAAACGTCCTAGTACGCGAAGAAACAGATGACTGCTGTCCTGAGGTTATGGAATTGGTGGTGGATGGAGTTTGGTTCAGATCTCTTGCTTTGAGGATGCCTAATGAATGGTGATCTGGTACAATCCTGGCTACTATTTTAATGCCCTCTTTGCTTTCTTATGACATGAATGACTCTGGTTGGCACAGTTCTGCCATGGTTCTGCCTCTGTGAATCAATGCTATTGAAAGTTTTTCCCCCTCATCAATGCCCATTGTGTGTGTAAATAGAGCCCAGTCACTTAAGTTTACTCTATATAAGTCAACAATTCACGTATTGCTGCCTGGAGCTGGCCAATACCTGTATACTTTCCTTTGCTCTACAGTGTTTTAAACTCTTTATCATTGGCTAAATTAATGACACAATCAATAGAATTACCTTATGCCCCAGGGAGATTATTTATAATGTTCTCTATCATAAAATGTTAATGATGTCTCTAAAATGAACCAGAGACATATGATATACTATAAACCATAGATATATGAATGGATTTTGGCCTCACATTTAATTCTAGTCCCAACCTAAGAACAATTAGTTCTTAAGATATGGCCCTACTCAAAGCTCATCCTCATAAAGAGATTGCTGAAGATATGGGTGCTACAGCAAATTGTGATAAAGAAACCAGATAGTGCCCAACTATCAGAGATAATAGTATTGGGGGGTCTTAAAAGGCTTGTCTTCAAATAAGCGGCCATCTAATTGAGGCATAAGTTAAGTACACATGGAAGAAACACACCAGCCTGCTTGATCCAAAGATTGTAAATAATAATAAAATCTAAATCTGGTGCTCTCTTCGGCAGCACATATACTAAAATTGGAAAGATACAGAGAAGATTAGCATGGCCCCTGCGCAAGGATGACATGCAAACTCGTGAAGCATTCCATATTTTAAATAAATAAAATCTAAATCTGAAGGAAGGAATGATATCAGAGCTTAAATTATGAACACTGCTTGCTGAAGGCTATGGGTGACAGTGGAAGCCCCAAATCCATTTGCAGGGTCCCCATGTGGGTTAATCCTCTCTGTCTATAGTCAAGGGATGTGAACAGCCTTGCTATCAAACAGAGCAGTGGAGAATTGATTATGGCAGATGTAGTTAGGTTAAAATGTAATACCTTATCATTTGATCTCCCTTTTGACCCATTTTTAAGTTGTTTCAGTTCTTAATATTTTCTGTTCTTTTTGATTGAGGTTTTTCTGTTTTCGCTTGTCATTGTTTTGGGCTTTTTTCTGTTGCTTGTTTGTTCTCCGTTCCTGTTTTCCCTGATTTTCTGCATAGGAAATCCAGGATGCGTAGATCTGGAGAAACAGTAACTGGATTGATAATTGCCTCGCTGCATGGCAGGGGAGGATGGGGGAAATGAGGAGCTAACAACAATGAGTATGAAAAGAAAATGTTCTGAAATTGATTGTGGTGATGACTGCACACATGTTCTTAATATGAATGAATGATTAAATTGTATGATATGTGAAGTATATGCCAATAAAACTATTTTTTCTAAAGGGATTGTGGGGGGGGAGGAAGGGTGTTAGAAAGTTAAATTAGAAGCGTGGATGAAACAGGTAAGGATGACTGAGCCAGAAGCTGGGGGAAGAAGTTATCTTAGGGAAAGGAGAGAAAGAGCACCCGCGGCTAACACTGGTTGGAAGGTGTTGAACTGGGAAATCGAGGGCTGAGCACCGGTGGACCCACAACCGATCCTAGTGCAGTGCCCGGGAACAGGGGCTGTGGCTGGTGGAGTTCCTTAAATATGCATCACCGAGTATTCAACCAGAGCAAGGGACAGGGCTGTGTTGTATTTATTTCTCAGTAATTCTGGGTTGAAAGGAAATCCTTAACACAGTTTTAAAAAAAATAAATGTTCTGGTTATAAAAGCATCTAAATAAAAAAAGGAAACCACACCTGTACTTCTAATACCCAGACACAAGTCCTTATCAGGATTTTGACATATTCTGGTGGGTGTATTTTCAAAACCTCTCTCCTGAATGCAAAATTTCCAATGTT